TTTCCATTAATTACTGAAACCTGGGAAGGTATGCTAGGTCTTGAGTGGGAAGGCAATACAGAATAGGTAGCCCCCTATGTAAATGGACTTACCCACTACTTGCAGCATTACCCTGGGCTCGGCAAGGGTGATGGGGGTCCCCGAGTCCAGGCCGTGTCAATTGTCCATGAGGTCAAGTTCAAACGAAGGGGCTGCCCCTCACATGGAGGTGCGGGGTGAGGGGGACGGTGAGCCTGTAGTCCAAAACAGGCAGTCTACCTTCCAGTGTCCGGTCCATTTGCAGATAGGACAGGGTCCAGGGGCCAGACGCAAACAGGAGCATGGTCGGGCTCAGTGCCCCTCCTGGCCACATTTGAAGCAGGGCCCTAGCGGGACCTTCAAAGCAGTCTGGGCGGGTCTTGAGGGACCCTTTCAGAGGGGTCTTAATGAGCCCCCTACACCAAATGCTTGGTAAGCTGCCAGCCTTAGAGCTGCTACAAGAGCTTGGGTTTAGAGGCTCACCTGTTGCCATAGATGGGCCGTGTGGGTGGCCTCGGCCTTTTCCTCTCGACCATTAAAGACCTTACATGCCATGTTCACCAGGTCTCTTATGGGAGTTTGGGGGCCCTCCTCTTCCTTTTTCAGTTTCTTCCTAATATCTGGTGCTGACTGAGAGATAAAATGGGCTGCTAGGAGGGTAGCCCCTGGACTACACATAAACTCAGTCACACACGCACTCACTCGGGAACAGGAGGAGAAAGCAAAAGTACCTAGACAGGAGCCGGCTCACCAAAAGGCGAGCTGGAGATTGAGAGCCAGAGGTTTGGTGTTAGTCCTGGGCAGAGCCCAGGCTAGTAAATGGGCCCCTAATTACCCAAATGTTAGCCTCTGCTGCGAAGATGATCCGAAGGGCGGCTCAGCGTCCCGGGCCATCCCACCGAACACCTGAGACTACGAGAGGGTTCAGGAAGGTGGGAACGTCTTCCTCAGATTCCTGGCCCTGAGAGACCCCTTATGGAGAGAAGACAAGAGTGTAGGGACGTCTCCACTACACTCAGGTCCTCAGAACGAGGCCAGGGCCCCGGGCCCACAGCAAGAGACAAGAAGGAGTCCCTGACACAGCAATTACGAACAGGGAGTCCACAGAGCAGGCAGAGGGAAAAGTTATGGGCAACAAAAGTCTTACCTCAGGGCGAGAGGCTCCTAGTCTGGCAGGGTTTCGGCACCAAATGTAAGGTTTATTGCCGAGTTTAAAGTGAGGAAACTGAGACCAGCCTAAGAAAATTAAATGCTAATTTATTCAACTCCCGGGTGAGGTTCCATGGTCCCGGGGGAAGGGGCCAGGGAAGTCGCACCGACTTCCTGGGGTGAGGGGTTTTTATGGCTAGAAGGAACAAGAAACAGCTGGGTGCTCTGATTAACTCCAGGGGAGCAGGATTAAGATGGGGCAGGCCACTATTGGTTGGCGGGTTGTTGGGCAGGTTTTCCGGTGGGAGAGCCGGCCAGGAGCCTTGCATCAGCTGGAGCCTTCCAGGGGAGCCATGCGGCAGAGCTAGGTGCCAAGTGCAGAGCCGGGTACCGGCTGCAGAGGTGGGTGTGTCCAACCTCCCGGCAAGGCAACTGGCCTTACAAGACAGATCACTTGAGTCCAGGAATTCCAGACTAGCCTGGGACAAAGTGAAACCCCATCTCTACAAAATAATTTAAAAAAAAAAAAAAAGAGTCAGACCTGGCAGCGTGGGCCTGTAGTCCCAGCTACCAGAGAGGCTGAGGTGGGAGGATCTCGGGCCCAGAAGGTGGAGGTGCAGTCAGCCAAGATTGCCCCACTGCACTCCAGCCTCAGAGACAGAGTGAGACCTTGACTCAAACAAAACAAAGTGAAATATCTTTTGAGTTCTGTGTCATCTGGTTTGATGACTTTCTAGGAACTTCTGAGTCATCCATGTCTTCTGCGCTTGGGAGTTGCCTCCAGGGAGTCTGTGTCCAGAGTGATGGGAGCCCCAGAAGCCAGTCAGATGGGACAGAAAAGGGTTGCACCCTGCTGGGGTGTTTGCAAGGCGGGAGTCACCAGGAGTATGACCAGGATGTGAACAAGGACTGTATTGTCCTTTGTTCTGTCAAATGTGTCTTGTGAAGATCATTGATTTACCCAAAGCACAAAGGGTCTTAAAGCCCTTATGATTGTCCAAATATAAAGAAATCACAGGTTTCTATTTGGAATGGTTTTACCCTCACATTATAATACCTCTCCACTACACTCAGGAGAGGGCACCTTCTAGAGATGAGAGTATTTGTTCTAAGCAGGATAAACCAGATTCTCAGAGAAGGATCTGGAAAGTCTAGTGATGGGGAACAACCACTGCATGGAGGCAGAATTGCCCCACAGGAATGCCTCCAATCAAAGAAGAGCCTCTTGATTCTTTTTTTTGTGGGGGGGGAGGGCGGGGAGGGAAGGAGGAAGGGAGGGAGGAAGGAAGGGATGAAGGAAAGAAGGAAGGGAGGAAGGGGGAAGAGAGGGAGGGAGGGAGGGAAGGGAAGGAAGGAATTCAAGCAATGAGAGAGACATTGCCGACCTGGATCTAGAGGTTTACAAGTTGATTTCTTTTTTTGAGAGAAGGAAAAAAGAAAAAAAATGAGTAAAGGAGAGAAAGAAAGAGGAAGAGAGAGAGGGAGGGTGAACGGAAATATTGCTTTATTCTGAAAAAAAAATGGGTATTAATAATGGCCAATGAATGTTTCATTTAAACCTATGAGTAGGTGTGATGTGGTATTGACAAGAATGTATATTTTGTGTATTTGAAGTGGAGAGCTCTATAAATATTTATTAAGTTTACTTGTTCTGGATCTGAGTTCGAGTCCTTGATATCCTTATTAATTTTCTGTCTCATTGAATCTATGTCTCCTATCTGGGTGTTAGGATCGTTACCTCTTGTTGTTGCATTGATCCTTTTACCACTATATCTTTGTTGCTTTAAAATCTATTTTATCCGATACGAGAATTGCAACTCCTGCTTGTTATTTATTTATTTATTTATTTTTGCTCTCCATTTGGTTGGTAAATCTTTCTCCATTCCTTTGTTTTGAGTCTTTGTGTATCCTTGCCTGTGAAACAGGTCTGGATGTAACATGCCGTTGGGTTTTGGCTGTGTCTTTTGATTGGGGGATTTAGTCGATTTAAATTTAGGGTTACTGCCATTTGATGTTAACTGGCTGTTTGATCAATTTGTTGATGAAAATTCTTCTTTATGTTGGTGCTCTTTACTTTTTGGTATATTTTTAGTAAGGCTAATACTGGTTGTTTCTTTCTGTGTGTAATGCCTCTTTCATAAGCTCTTGTAAAGCAGGCCTGGTGGTAATAAAATCTCTGAGTTCTTGCTTGTTCATAAAAGATTTTATTTTTCCTTTAGTTGTGAAGCTTAGTTTGGCTGGATATGAAATTCTGGGCTGAAGGTTCTGTTCTTTGAGGATGTTGAATATTGGCCCCCACTCTCTTCTGGCTTGTAGAGTTTCTGCTGAGAGATCTGCTGTAAGTCTGATAAGCTTCCCTTTGTAGGTAACCTGACCTTTTTCTCTGGCTGCCCTTAGTATTTTCTCCTTCGTTTCAACCCTGGTGAATCTAACGATTATGTGCCTTGGGGTTGCTCTTCTTGAGGAATATCTTTGTGGTGTTCTCTGTATTACCTGGGGTTGAATATTGACCTGCTTTGCTAGTTTAGGAAAATTTTCCTGAATAATATCCTGAAAGGTATTTTCCAGCTTGGATTCACTCTTTTTTTTTTTTTTTTTTTTTTTTTTTTTACTGCCTGAACTACCTGACCTTGGTCCCATTTTTTTTTTTTTTTTTTGAGGGAAAAAGAGAAAAAGAAGGGGAAAAAAAGAAAAAGAGGGAAAAAGGAATATTACTTCATTCCTAAAATGGGTTTCAATAATGGCCAATCAATATTTTGAGTGTTTAAAGTGGTTAATGCATATTTTATGTGTTTAAAATGGAGACCTCTATTGTGTTTATTTGTTCTGGTTCTGAGTTCAAGTCCTGGATATCTTATCAATTTGTTGTCTCGTTGAATCTAAATCTCATTATGTGTCTTATGTATCTGGGTGTTAAGAGCTCTTATTGTTACATTAATCCTTTTATCCTTGTATCCTTGTAGCTTTGAAATCTATTTTGTCAAATGTGAAAATTGCAACTCCTGCTTATTTATTTATTTTTGCTCTCCATTTGGTTGGTACGTTTTTTTTTTTTTCCAACCCTTTATTTTGAGTCTATGTATATCTATGGATATACCGTTAGATTTTGTCTGTATCTTTTGATTGGGAGATTTGGTCAATTTAAATTTAGGGTTGCTGCCGTTTGATATTAACTGGCTATTTTGTCCTTTCATTGATAAAAATTCTTCTTTATGTTAATGCTCTTTACTTTTTGGTGTATTTTTAGAAAGGGTCATACTGGTTGTTCCTTTCTGTGTATAGTGCTTCTTTTAGAAGTTCTTGTAAAGCAGGCCTGGTGGTAATAAAATCTCTGAGTACTTACTTGTTCCTAAAAAATTTTATTTTTCCTTCAAATGTAAAGCTTAGATTGGCAGGATATGAAATTCTGGGCTGAAAGTTCTGTTGATTAAGTGTATTGAATATTGGCCCCCACTCTCTTCTAGCTTGTAGGGTTTCCGTTGAGAGATCTGCTGTAAGCCTAATAGGCTTACCTTTATGGGTAACTTGATCTTTCTCTCTGGCTGCCCTTAATATTTTCTCCTTCGTTTCGATCTTGGTGAATCTAACGATTATGTGCCTTGGGGTTGGTCTTCTTGAGGAATATCTTTGTGGTGTTCTCTGTATTGCCTGGGGTTGAATAGTGTCCTGCTTTGCTAAATTAGGAAAATTTTCCTGGATAATGTCCTGGAGAGTATTTTCCAGCTTGAATTCATTCTCTCCGTCACATTCAGGTACACCAATCAAGCGTATATTAGGCCTTTTCACATAGTCCCATATTGCTTGGAGACTTTGCTCATTCCTTTTATCCTTTTTTCTCTATTCTTGTCTTGTTGTGTTGTTTCATTAAGTTGATCTTCGACCTCTGATACCCTTTCTTCTGCTTGATCCATTCGGCTGTTTAAGCTTGTACATGTTTCACTAAGTTCTCGTGTTGTATTTTTCAACTCCATAAGTTCATTTGTATTCCTCTCTATATTGTCTATTCTTTTCAACATTTCATCTAACCTTTTTTCCAAGTTCTTAGTTTCTTTACATTGGGTTAGAACAAGTTCCTTTAACTCCCAGAAGTTTCTTATCATCCACCTTTTAAAGCCTACTTCAGATAATGGAACACAGTCCTTTTCCATCAGGGCTTGTTCCGTTACTGATGAGTCCTTTTCCATCAGGGCTTGTTCGGTTGCTGATGAGTCCTTTTCCATCAGGGCTTGTTCCGTTGCTGGTGGGTTCTGATTTTGAGTATACTCGGCCTTCTTAGGCTGTTTTTTTCCCTTCATTGTAGATGAACCGCCTTTCTAATTAGTTTTCTGAGTCGACGTCCGACTTATTGATTCCCAGTGTTGGGATCCGAGCAACCCACTGTGGCAGCCTAAATAGCAGCGGTAAGACTGATGGTGCTCTTCTGCCCGGGAATCTCTGGTCTGGCTTCCCTCTTGAGTCCGCAACAAGCGGCTCTGACTTCCCGGAGCTCCAAACTCCCGTCAGTAGGGGAAGCAGTCCCGTTGGCTCTGCGTGAAGAGCTGCTGCGCCGAGACGCCGGCAAAACCGCTGCGGCGGCCACAAGAGTCGCGCTGGCGACCCGTGGGGCTCCTCCACTGGGAATCGGCTGATCGGTGAGTGACGAAAATTCGTCTAAAAGTGTGGCGTCGTCTCGTTCTCTGGGCTTTCACTGGGAGCTACAATCCTGAGCTGTTAGTGGTCGGCCATCTTGGATCGATCTCGCTTGTATTCATTCTCTCCGTCGCATTCAGGTACACCTATCAAACGTAAATTTGGTCTTTTCACATAGTCCCACATTTCTTGGAGACTTTGCTCATTCCTTTTTATCCTTTTTTCTCTAATCTTTTCTTCACGTTTTATTTCATTAAGTTGGATTTTGACCTCTGATATCCCTTCTTCTGCTTGAACAATTCAAGTGTTTAAACCTGTGCATACTTCTCGGAGTTCCTGTATTGTATTCTTCAGTTCCATTAATTCACTCATACTCCTCTCTAAGTTGTCTATTCTCAATAGGATTTCATCAAACCTTTTTTCAAAGTTCCTAGTTTCTTTACGTTGGGCTACAACATGTTCTTTTAACTCACAAAAGTTTCTTATTATCCATTCCCTGAAGAGTGATTCTGTCATCAGGAGGCGCTCGTTCTCCATCAAGCCTTGTTCCATTGTTGATGTGGAACTGTGATCATCTTTAGAGGGAGAGGCGTTCTGACTTTGAGTATTCTCAGCTTTTTTACGCTGGTTTCTTCCCGTCATTGTAAATTTATCCTCCTGTCGTCTTTGAAATTACCAACTTTCAGATTAGGTCTCTTGAGTGGACGTCCAAGTTGTTAGTTCCCAGGGCCAGAGCAGCGGCGTTAAAACTGATGGTGCTTTTCTGCCCAGGATTCTCCTGTCTGGCTTCCTTCTTGTGTCCGTAATGGGCAACTCTCGCCTCTTGATTCTTTTGAGTCTATGAAGGAGGAAATGTCTTGATCATCTTTGTTGGAATTTATTTCCCTTTACCTGGCTGCATTTTTATAGATCAATTAAACTCTCATTCCCTACCTCACCTTTGAAGACTTGGATACATTTTTCTCATTGCATTTTCCACCTCCACCCTTGCTCATGGCCATCAACTGTCAGAACCTAAGCTTTCCCTGGCCCCATGGGACCTAATCTGGGTAGGAGCCCATTGCTGATAACCTGTATCCAGATAATTGTCAGATGTGACTAGAGTGCCCAGGACAGGGGATGTTTTCCTGGTCAGTGACAAGGTGACCCTTGTTCTTTTGTGCATTTGATCCACATCTTTCACCATTGTGTCCAGAGCTCCTGCTTCCTGTCAGAGGGAGGCTCCTCAGGGACAGCGCATCCCTCCCAGGAGCCCAGGCTGCAGTCATCTCCACTGTGAGGCCTTCAGCCTCTGGCACAAAAGTGCCACAGAGCTCAGAGGCTGCTTTCTAGAGAGGTTTCATTTGCACAAAACTGTCTTGGTATGTGGATTGGTCTGAATTGCATTTTGAATTTATTTTGTCCTCCAATACTTGTAAATCCAGTGTTTGTAAATACTGTGTATGCCTAGTGTAGTGGTGGCCTACATTCCAGAAAGTTTGTATTGCTTTCCATGTGGATTTCCAAGCTTGCTCCTGAGTGCATAATATTCAATGCTCCAAAATATGAATGTTCACTACTGCTGAAACGGGACACTTCATGTCAGATTTTCAAAGTCCAGAAAGATTTGCATAACATAGTCTTCTTGGAATTATGATTAAAACTGTGAGAATTGAGGTCAGTTAAAAACACAATACCGGGCCAGGCGCGGTGGCTCACGCCTGTAATCCCAGCACTTTGGGAGGCCGAGGCGGGTGGATCACAAGGTCAAGAGATCGTGAGTAGCTGTAATCCCAGCTACTCAGGAGGCTGAGACAGGTGAATTGTCTGAACCCAGGAGGCGGAGGTTGCGGTGAGCAGAGATCGCGCCATGCCCTAGGCACTCTTTGGTGTCTTTCTGATTCTGTTCAACACGGTTCTGAAATCATTCCCATTGTTGGACCGATCTCTAACTCAGTCCTTTCCATTTTGGACTCTGTGTATGCTCAGTCCACCCTGTTGAATACCTATCTCTGTTTCATTCATCATCTTGAAAGAAACACTTAAAATTAAGATATTTTCAAGAGCATACAGTTCAGTCCTGAGGAATCGATGCAGCAATGTTCTCAGAAGCCGTCTGAACTTACTCAGGGCAAGTCTTTGTCTTCATTCACATAAGAGTCTAATGGAATTAATATCAACAATCTTAGCTATTCATGCCATGCTCATGACCCCTACTTGGGTATTTTTATGCTTATTTCTGAATGAAGTCATCTCTTTATTATAGTTTTTTGACTAATCCTGTTTTTTTTGTTTGTTTGGTTTTTCTGAGATGGAATCTTGCTCTGTCACCAGGCTGGAGTGCAGTGGCGCCATCTCAGCTCACTGCAACCTCTGATTCTCTGGTTTAAGCGATTCTCCTGCCTCAGCCTCCTGAATAGCTGAGACTACAGGCACATGCCACCACACCCAGCTAATTTGTGTATTTTTAGTAGAGATGGGGTTTCACCATGTTGGCCAGGATGGTCTTGATCTCCTGACCTTGTGATTCACCCACCTTGGCCTCCCAAAGTGCTAGGATTACAGGCGTGAGCCACCACACCTGGCAACTTATGCTGATCTTTAAATGGCAGAGATTCATGTAATCTAAGAAAGAAATGTGAGTGATTCACAGGGATTTTTTTTATCATGGGTCACCTAATAAATACTTCCAATGTTATATGTCAATTTAAAAAGTAAGTAACTTTTAAAAAATGATAATTATTTTATACCTAGTTTGTCCAACCCACAGGTGACAGGCCGCATGCAGCCCAGGACAGCTTAGAATGTGGCCCAACATAAATTTGTAAACTTTCTCAAAACATTGTGATTTTTTTTTGTAATTTTTTTTTTAGCTCATCAGCTATTTTTAGTGTTAATGTATTTTATGTGTGGCGCAAGATAATTCTCCTTCTTTTAGGATAGCCTAGGGAAGCCAAAAGACTGAACATCCCTGCATTAGAGAAAAGACACCCCACATTCACAATGCTTAAAAACACTACCAACCAGGTGTAGTGGCTCACACCTGTAATCCAAGTACTTTGGAGGCCAAGGTGGGCAGATCATCTGTGGTCGGAAGTTCAAGACCAGCCTGACCAATATGGTGAAACCCCACCTTTATTTATAAAATTTTTAAAATGCACAAAAATAAAAATAAACAAATAAATAATAAAAAACACTGCCAGCCATGCAAGAACCATGAGACTGTTAACTTCCAGTCCTTCTTGAAGCAGTGGGATCCCCTGGTGATAGCTGAGGGGTGTGGTTACCTCTTGGAGAAGGTTGAGGGTTTCTAAGGATAATTCCTTGTGACCGAAACATGGTAAATGTCATTGAGCCTCTCATTATTCCATCTGTTATTATTCCAGGTCAACCATGTCCTGCCTGAAAGTTTGCATCCAGGGCCTGGCTCTTCTGAAATTCCCTAGATGCTTATTATAATTGCTGTTTCCCTGGGAATTTGCTCCCTTGCTATTTTGTCATGGATACCTAGCCTTGGGGTGAGCATATCACTTCCTATAGAGGTCCACTTGTAACCATAAAGAAGAAGAAATTATTTAGAACAATTCGTGCTTGTGAACTTTATTATGAATATTGAATTTTACCAAAAAGCAAATCAGGGAAATGATTTATTACCCTAAGAATAATGAAAATATCTACCATTTACAGAATGAAAATTAAGTAGGTTCATGTTTGTTTAATAGGATGTCAATAGCGCTTTTGGTCAAAAATAGGTTTTTTACCTTTGTGCTGTTTTATTAGGAATGAAGAAAGGGTAAATGCTGGAGTCCTTTTCACTCTGCCTATTACAGGACACTTTAGTCTTTTCCCACAGCGCCCTCTCCTGGCTTGGCCTCTGCTCTTCGGGTTCTGGGTGCCTTTTCTGTCTGGCCTTTTTCAAAGCAAAATCTTCCCCATGAGCTTCCAGGCTTCTCCATTCCCAGCTGGTCATCTTTGTTGGCGCCGCCAGAAGCCGTGAATGCTTATGAGCTGAGGACTGAAGGGCTTCCACTGGTCTGTTTGCAGAAATAACACGAGGCGATGCCACTGAGCTCCACTGCTGGAGGTCTCATGGCCCAGGGAATCCTGACTGATCCATTTGACTCCAAATATTGTGGGGTCCTGTTTCCAAAATATGTAGGGTTTTGTTTTGTGCTGTGATTTTATTTCTCTTCTTCTATAAGGTAGATGATTAGCATTCAGAATATCTGCTGTAATCCCAGAAGTGGAAAAAAAGTCAAAACTCATTAATCCAACATAATTAGTATATGCTGTGTGCCACTTTGAATACTCTCGGACAAAGTCCGTGCCATAATTCATCATCGTCCCATCTGTGTTGTGCAGAATTGCTCCCACTCCCACCCAGTGGCAGCCTAGATCTCACGTTCTAGGTATAAGAGGTTCCGCATTTGTAATAGAGAATGCACCCTGGCTGTGAGGAAGTGAAGAGTGAACGTCACTCATTACCTACAAGGACAATTCCCAATGACGACCCTCAATGATGCTCAGTCAAGCTGGTTCTCGGACTCGATAGTTTTGAAAGCTGCTGAGTCCTCTGATCACACATGATGGGACTTGTACACCTACAATCAAACACATTTTTAAAATGTCTGTTGTTTAGAATTCCCACCTCATTTTTCCGTGGAAAAAAATTTATTTTTGGCCGGGCGCAGTGGCTCACGCCTATAATCCCAGCACTTTGGGAGGCCAAGGCAGGTGGATCATGGGGTCAAGAGATCGAGACCATCCCGGTCAACAAGGTGAAACACCGTCTCTACTAAAAATACAAAAATTAGCTGGGCATGGTGGCACGCGCCTGTAGTCCCAGCTACTCGGGAGGCTGAGGCAGGAGAATTGCTTGAACCCAGGAGGCGGAGGTTGCGGTGAGCCGAGATCGCACCATTGCACTCCAGCCTGGGTAACAAGAGTGAAACTCTGTCTCAAAAAAAAAAAAATTTATTTTTTGTGTCATAGTGCACTTAAAAGTGGGTATTACCTTGAACTTGAAATATGATCACTGTGCCAAACTAACATCTGTATGTAGGATTGTTCTGTCAGAAAACCCTCTCCCGATTCCCCTGCAGGTCTTCAGGAATCCACATCTCCCCAGAGATCTTTGTGCCCACAGGTGGCACCTCCAGAATGGAGAAGAGCCTTTGTCAAAAAGGGAAGCAGAATGGGGATGAGAGGTCCTGCAGGCACAGCTGGAATCGACCTCCACTCCGCCTCTTGCAAGCTGTGTGACCCTGGGTGAACATTCTCCTTCCTTTGGGAGCCTCCATTTTCTTAGATTTGGGGCAGGGTGGTCACATTGACCTTGCAGAGTTCTGAGAATCAGAGATAGAACATGAAAAGCCTGGAGAACATTCTCATAAGAATAGCTGTGACCTAGCATTGTGTAGCGGTAGCATTGTAGCCAATGAGGTTTATCCAAGGTGCAGTTATGGATAATTTAAAACTTTTCCAATACTCCGCCATGACGACTTGCAATATAATCGGCATTGGCCTTTTTGACAGTCTCTACGGAGACTTAGTTTTAAAAAGACTTAGTTTTAAATATATACTCAGTCTCCGTAGAGACTGTCAAAAATTGCCAATGCTGGCCGGGCATGGTGGCTCACATCTATAATCCCAGCACTTTGGGAGGCCGAGGTGGGTGGATCACAAGGTCAAGAGATCGAGACCATCCTGGTCAACAAGGTGAAACCCCGTCTCTACTAAAAATACAAAAATTAGCTGGGCATGGTGGTGCGCACCTGTATTCCCAGCTACTTGGGAGGCTGAGGCAGGAGAATTGCTTGAACCCAGAAGGTGGAGGTTGCGGTGAGCCGAGATTGTGCCATTGCACTCCAGTCTGGGTAACAAGAGCGAAACTCTGTCTCAAGAAAAAAAAAAAAAATGCCAATACCAATTATGTAAGAATGCGGATAGACATAGCCCGTGTCAGAAACATGCTTCTTTATTACTGCGTAGTGACTGTCTTCCCTGGGACGGGCCCCCAGCCTGCCTACATTTGCAGACAGACACAGTGGCAGGGGGACAACAGTTTGTCCCCACGGCTTGTTTTCACTCCCCTGCTGTCAGCAGGACTCCGTGGAACAGATGCTTTATGGCACTGATGTGCCATTTAGAAACCTGAAGAAGGGGAAGGGGCAGGAACCGTCACCTGCAGCATCAGGTGCAACTTGCGTGCATGTTGGTGTTTTTTCTTTCATGTTAAGAGATTTCCAAACATTTCCTCCTCTGCCTTGCAGGTCAACATGGCTGAACAGGAGCCTCATCCTCTGTCAGAATGGCCCAACCTACCCTACCTCATGGCTGGCCCTTCCAGACCACTGATGGGCTGCCGGGCACCTCCTCCACCTCCCGGTCCTCTGGGACCTCAATCACTCTCTGCAACTGAGCCTTCTCTAGAACCTCTGATACCTCCTCCACTGGAACAACCTCTGGAGCCTGAAACACCTTCTCCAGCTGAAGGTTTCCTGAGACGTCAGACACCTCAGCCACGTGAGTTTCCCAAGGGACCTCAGCAACATACTCCATTCGAGTGTCCCCTGGACCCGCAATCACCTCCTGACCTTGAGTGTCCCCTGGAATTTTAACAACCTCCAATACTACAGTGTCCACTGGGACCTCAACCACCTCCTCAACGTGAGTGTCCCCTGGAAGTTCAACAACCTCCAATACTACAGTGTCCACTGGGACCTCAACCACCTCCTCAACGTGAGTGTCCCCTGGAAGTTCAACAACCTCCTATAATACAGTGTCCACTTGGAGTCAACCACCTCCTGAACGTGAGTGTCCCCTGGAAGTTCAACAACCTCCAATACTACAGTGTCCACTGGGAGTCAACCACCTCCTGAATGTGAGTGTCCCCTGGAAGTTCAACAACCTCCAATACTACAGTGTCCACTGGGACCTCAACCACCTCCTGAACGTGAGTGTCCCCTGGAAGTTCAACAACCTCCAATACTACAGTGTCCACTGGGAGTCAACCACCTCCTGAATGTGAGTGTCCCCTGGAAGTTCAACAACCTCCAATACTACAGTGTCCACTGGGACCTCAACCACCTCCTCAACGTGAGTGTCCCCTGGAAATTCAACAACCTCCAATACTACAGTGTCCACTGGGACCTCAACCACCTCCTGAATGTGAGTGTCCCCTGGAAATTCAACAACCTCCAATACTACAGTGTCCACTGGGACCTCAACCACCTTCTCAACGTGAGTGTCCCCTGGAAATTCAACAACCTCCAATACTACAGTGTCCACTGGGACCTCAACCACCTTCTCAACGTGAGTGTCCCCTGGAAATTCAACAACCTCCAATACTACAGTGTCCACTGGGACCTCAACCACCTCCTCAACGTGAGTGTCCCCTGGAATTTTAACAACCTCCTATAATACAGTGTCCACTGGGAGTCAACCACCTCCTGAATGTGAGTGTCCCCTGGAAGTTCAACAACCTCCTATAATACAGTGTCCACTGGGACCTCAACCACCTCCTCAACGTGAGTGTCCCCTGGAATTTTAACAACCTCCTATAATACAGTGTCCACTGGGAGTCAACCACCTCCTGAATGTGAGTGTCCCCTGGAAGTTCAACAACCTCCAATACTACAGTGTCCACTGGGACCTCAACCACCTCCTCAACGTGAGTGTCCCCTGGAAATTCAACAACCTCCAATACTACAGTGTCCACTGGGAGTCAACCACCTCCTCAATGTGAGTGTCCCCTGGAAGTTCAACAACCTCCAATACTACAGTGTCCACTGGGACCTCAACCACCTCCTCAACGTGAGTGTCCCCTGGAAATTCAACAACCTCCAATACTACAGTGTCCACTGGGAGTCAACCACCTCCTCAACGTGAGTGTCCCCTGGAAGTTCAACAACCTCCAATACTACAGTGTCCACTGGGACCTCAACCACCTCCTCAACGTGAGTGTCCCCTGGAAATTCAACAACCTCCAATACTACAGTGTCCACTGGGACCTCAACCACCTCCTCAATGTGAGTGTCCCCTGGAAATTCAACAACCTCCAATACTACAGTGTCCACTGGGACCTCAACCACCTCCTGAATGTGAGTGTCCCCTGGAATTTTAACAACCTCCTATAATACAGTGTCCACTGGGACCTCAACCACCTTCTGAATGTGAGTGTCCCCTGGAATTTTAACAACCTCCAATACTACAGTGTCCACTGGGACCTCAACCACCTCCTCAACGTGAGTGTCCCCTGGAAATTCAACAACCTCCAATACTACAGTGTCCACTGGGACCTCAACCACCTCCTCAACGTGAGTGTCCCCTGGAAATTCAACAACCTCCAATACTACAGTGTCCACTGGGACCTCAACCACCTTCTCAATGTGAGTGTCCCCTGGAATTTTAACAACCTCCAATACTACAGTGTCCACTGGGACCTCAACCACCTTCTCAACGTGAGTGTCCCCTGGAAATTCAACAACCTCCAATACTACAGTGTCCACTGGGACCTCAACCACCTTCTCAACGTGAGTGTCCCCTGGAAGTTCAACAACCTCCAATACTACAGTGTCCACTGGGACCTCAACCACCTTCTCAACGTGAGTGTCCCCTGGAAATTCAACAACCTCCAATACTACAGTGTCCACTGGGACCTCAACCACCTTCTGAATGTGAGTGTCCCCTGGAAGTTCAACAACCTCCTATAATACAGTGTCCACTGGGACCTCAACCACCTCCTGAACGTGAGTGTCCCCGGAAGTTCAACAACCTCCTATAATACAGTGTCCACTGGGACCTCAACCACCTCCTGAATGTGAATGTCCCCTGGAAGTTCATCAACCTCCTGTAGAAGAGTGCTCACTGGGACCTCCACCACCTCTTGAACGTGAGTGTCCACTGGAACTTCAACAACCTCCTGAAGCTGTCTCTTTTCTGGGACCTCATCCTCCTCCTGCAGGTGTCTGTCCTGCAGCACTTCCTCAGCCTACTGCCGCTGTCTGTCCCCCAGGACCTCATCTTCCACCTGCAGGCATCTCTCCTCCCGGACCTCATGCACCTCCTGCAGGCATCTGTGTGCCAGGACCACATGCACCTCCTGCAGGCTCCCGTCCTCTGGGACCTCATTTTTCTCCTGCAGGTGTCTGTCCTGCAACGCCTCATCAACCTACTGCAGCTTCTTGTCCCCAGGGACCTCATCTACCTGCTACAGGTGTCTGTCCCCTGGGACCTCATCTACCTGCTACAGGTGTCTCTCCTCTGGGATCTCAGTGATTTTTCTCCTGCTCTGTGGCCTGTGGGACCTCAGCCTGCTCCTCCACTCAGCAGTCTGTTTGGCCTCAGCCACCTCCTCTACTGGGTGGCCTCTGGCCCCTCAACTACCACCTCTACATGAGTCACCTCGGGTACTTCAATAGTCTCCACTCACGGCCTCCGGGACTTCAGCCACCTTCTCCCGGGGCTCCTCTAGTATATCAGCCATCTCCTCTACTTGGCTGGCCTCTGCCCTCTCAACCAAGTCCGTCACCTCAGTGTCCTCTGGGACCTCGGCCACCTCCTATACCCATGTGTCCTCCGGGACCTCGACCACCACCTCCACATGCAGCACTTGGTATGTTTTTCTGAACAGTATATATTGACTTGTGAAATGAATTTATCTTTTCTTTTATTTTTTTGAATTAATTGAAATGTCACAGATGTTACCGCAGGCCTTGCAGTACAATGGTAACACTGGCTGAGGACGTGGTCACTTTTGTCAAGTTTCTGAGGGTGCACAGTCAGTCGCATTATTTCTTCATCATGACCTTGGCAGGAGTTATCTCTTGTAGAGGAGGAAATAGTATTTTTTATTTTGGGGGAGGACGGAGTCTTGCTCTGTCACCTAGGGAATGCAGTGGCACAATGTGGACTCACTGCAACCCCCGCCTCCAGTGCTCAGGTGATCCTTGCATCTAAGCCTCTGGAGTAGCTGGGACTACAGGCATGCGCCACCATGCTTGACTATTTTCTTAAATTTTTTTTAAAGACCATATTTCATTATGTTGCTCAGGCTGGTCTCAAACTCCTGGACTCATGGCATCTGCCCACTTTGCCCCCCGCCCCTCCGCCGCTTAAAGTGCTGAGATTACAGGCATGAGCCACTGTGCCCAGCCAGAAATTGTTTATAGAAGCCAGAAATAGCTTCTATAAACAATGTTATAGAAGTATGCAGGCATGTATGGCACCTGGGCCATGTGGCCTGCTCTGTGAGGGATGAGCCCCGTCCCTGACTTGCAGTGTCCTGGGTCCTGCAGCAAAGAGATTCCCACTGAGAGGCCTTGAGCTTCTGACCACCCCTAATGGAAGCGCAGGGCGAGGGGCCCCCACATGCAGACAGAGGAGACGGCATCTCCTGGGAATAAACAGGAGGCTGTGGAAGAGAAGGATGAGGCAGGGAGGTGTCACATGGGGGTTTGTTGAACTTAGGTGGAGCTGGAGGACTGCTCTTGGCCAGGCAAGCAGCGTGAGCAGGAGCGTGGGGTCTGCGTGAGTGCCACACAGAGCCACCGTGGAGAGCTCACACGGCACAGTGTGCACAGGGAATGATGCCCCCAGCACTTCCTTGTTTCCCTACAGCCTTTAGTCCACTATGTGTTGAAAGATGACTCTCCCCGGATGTGTGAAGGCTCTGGATCAGGGTGAATGAATGCTTAGAGGTCTGGGAACTTGAACTTGGTTCTGTCAGGGGACCCTGTCTCCCCGAGTTTTTAGGGGCTGAGGAAACTAACAATGAAAATGGGTCGGGTTCAGTGGAGCTGTGGCCTTGGCCTTCAGAATGAGGCCCATCCTGAGCTGCTCCAGCATCATCTCACCCCAGCGCCCTCTCCTTCCCGCCGGGACTCCCAGCTTTGCATCTCCTGAGCTGGGCATGCAAACTACTCCCCTTCCCTGTGTCCCTGCTGCCTGAGCCCAGACATCGCCTCTCAGTGGGACTCAGAGCCCCAGCTTCCTAATAAATGAGGCAAGAATGATGTGCTTATGAAGTCATTTTGAGGACTAAGGAGGAAGCCTATAAAGAAAGCATCTTGCAAAATAGCTGGCAGGTGTTAGACCTGCCAGAAATATTCCTGCTCAGAAGATCAGCAGAAGATATTCCCCAAAGTTCATTCAATAAACATTAGGGTGTAACAGCTCAGGCCTGGGACTTCCAATCTCTCTTACAAAAGATAAGGGAAAGAACCTGTCTCCAAGATTAAAAGTCAGGTCCTTATGCCATAAAGGAATTAGAGGAATGCATACACAGGTAACCTCTGAGATCTGTATCTGCAATCTGTAGGTAATTATTCTCCACGACACACAGACACACATGCAGCCACTCACAGAAGTATTCAGCAGGGGCATAGTTATTTGATAGCAGACAAAATGTATATTGGCAAAAAAAAAAAAAAGGATCACATGGAAATAAACCAAAATCTTTTTACCTTACAGGACAATTTTGAAATTAGAAGACTCGCCTGAGCCATGATATCTTGGAAAAGTTTCCAACATGTTTTACCCTCCACACCTGGTGCTGCCTCCTCCCCCTGTCATTTCCATAATGTCTCCCTTAGGCGTCTGCTTCCTGGAGGACCGGCTCACACCCCAGGGCGTGCCAGGTGTGACTCCTCCTAAGCTATTCAAACCCAGGCAGATACTGCCTTGCTGGCCACAGAAGCAGGGTTAGCCTTTGGGTAGTGTTGACTGGGAGGGGTTGAGGGGGCCTTCTGGGGTGGGGGAACATCCTGTATCAAGCCGTGGGTGGAGCTTGTGCTCATTGATTTTTAAAATAGTCACTGTGAGCCTAGTGGCTGCCAGTGGTGCCTTGTGAGCAGAGAGACAGGAAGAGATTCCCATGAGGTCTCCAACTTCTCATGATAGGGAGTAGAAGGGGGCCCAGCAGCAGCAGCTGTGGAGCCGGCGAGGAGCCCCGCAAAGGCTCAGGGTTTGTCACAGCCCTTTCCCCACTGAGCCAGCTGCCCCCAGGAGCACCAACTCCAGGCAGCTCTGAGAGAAGCTGAGCTGGGAGCAGACATTTCTCAATCAGTCCTCTACCCCCCACCATCTTTCTGTCGTTTTTTAATTACAGCACCTGCACACCTGTGGCCCACATCTGTGCTGTCCCCAGGCCAAGGTAGAGTGCACCAGCTGATGCCAAAAGCCACCTGCCCTGGCTCCATGCTTCCATGCCCCCAATGGCCATGAGCATAGCCACCAATCTCCACCTCTTCTGGTACCATGAAGATGAATCTTGACAGTGTCAGCTCTTTTTCAGAATGGAAATCGGCAGAATGGCTACAGAGACCGCTTTGCACATCAGGAGATCCATAGAGAGGCCTCTCTGGAAGCTGCCATCTCTTCTGAAGGATCCTGCCTTCCCAGCCTGACGGGCCTCCTCCAGCAGATGCACTCTCTCCACACAAAGTGTCTGCCAGCCTCCAGCCTCCAGCCTCCACTTGAATGGAGGCAGTTACCCCAGTGAATTATTTCCTCTTAGCTGGAATAACAGACTGAAGGAAGAGGCCCTCGCCACACTGTGGATGACCTGCCTGTGTGATTGCTGGGGCTGGAGGCTCCAATCACAGGCGCTTCGTCCTCATTACACACCTGTAGCTTCATGTTGGTTATGAACAACTTTTCTTTGTTGGATGCATTTTGAAATTTTTCATCTAAGGGGTGACTGAAAATGTTTAGTCCCATAAATATCAACAATATGGTAAGCATATGGGAGAGTGCACCCACATGTCAATTCTGAAATAATTACAGGATTTACATATTTGAGGAAAATCTCATAGCTCTAATTACGAAGAATTCACATGGAGGCAGGTATCTTCATGCAGGCACATATTAAGAACAAACAAGCAGAGCACAGTTAGGGCGTGCACCCCAAAAGTTGGGGTGGAGATGAAAGGGCAAGGGGGACTGTGGTTGGGGACTATGATTTAGGGGTTCCAGGAAGGACTCGCTGAGAATTAGGAGGTTTTAGTAATTGAAAGGCTGTATTTTGTGGGAGGCTGTAATGAAACATAATTCCTGGGTTGCAGGGAAGAGCTGAAGCTACTGAGGAGGGAAATCTTGGACATGTGGGTGGAATGAGATGAACAGTGATGGTGAAACCACAAGAAGGAAAGAGGAGGTGGGAAGACAGAGAGCGGTGGGAAGGCCTGGGAGGTGTCTCGGAAGAGAAGTGGTGGCCCAGGCCCAGGAGGCCAAAGGGACAAGCAGAGGTGGAGGCTGGAAGAAAATGTCCAGACCAGAGTAGCGACTACAGCCGACATCTGGGAACCTGCTTAGCATTTGATGAAGGAAGTTTTAGTGATTAAATGGTTTGTGTGCAGCGTTTTACCTATCCTGTAGGTCACAGCCACCATCTGGCTAATGGAAATTATTTAAATAAGAAGAAATGGTTCAGGCACCAAGAAAGGTGAGAGGCAGCAGCACACCTGCTCCCGAGATATGCCAGGTTTCTCTTCAAACTTCTCACATATTTGTTCTTTTTTTTTTTTTTTTTTGAGACGGAGTTTTGCTCTTGTTACCCAGGCTGGAGTGCAATGGCGCGATCTCGGCTCACCACAACCTGTGCCTCCTGGGTTCAGGCAATTCTCCCGCCTCAGCCTCCCAAGTAGCTGGGATTACAGGTACGTGCCACCATGCCCAGCTAATTTTTTGTATTTTTAGTAGAGACGGGGTTTCACCATGTTGACCAGGATGGTCTTGATCTCTTGACCTCGTGATCCACCCACCTCAGCCTCCCAACGTGCTGGGATTACAGGCTTGAGCCACCGTGCCCGGCCCGGTCTCGATCTCTTGACCTCTTGATCCACCCGCCTCGGCCTCCCAACGTGCTGGGACTACAGACATGAGGCACTGCGCCCAGCTGTCCATCTACTCTAAGATTACCCTTTTTTTCCTGCTGTCTATTGCTACTAGGCTCTGGCAGTGGCTTTCTCAGCTGCACTCAATGAAGCCTCTTTCCGGGTTCACCAAGAAGGAGGAGGTGGGTGCTCCCCGCCGCCAGTCCCAATACCCAGTCAGGAGCCAGATCTATGACTGCATTCTGCTGATCTCGAAAATGTGGTGTCAGCTTTTCTTGATTTAGACCCCAGCGCCAACTTTTTTGTTCATGGAACTCTGCGTTTTAAAAACAACATAGTTTTTGTTTGATGGCACTTTTTAATCAAACAGAGAGAAGACAGACAAATAAGTTACAGCCTGTTTCCTGAGAGATTTCATCAGCCCTACGGTTATTCTTCCTCTTCTACCCTGTGGTCTATCAGGGCACACACAAACGCAGGCTTCTACATTACACACTCACACAAGCACCTGCCTTAAACACAAGCACGCACTGCCTTACTCAAATGCACCTACCTCTCACACACACACCTGCCTTACACACACACCTGCCTTGCACACACCTGCCTCACACACACACACACACAGGCACCTACTCTCACACATACATTCACCTGTCCTTACACACATTCACATCCACTCCCTTACACACACAACACCCTGATACACACACCTGGACACACACAGTTCCTCTCTCATAATTCAGAGGAAGATGTCTTTACAACTAAGCTCTCACATTCAAATAAGATTAGTCGTCTTGCCCCTTCATTCCTGTGGAGCTTAACTATATCATGAGAGGGAAAGTCTTCATTAAAATAAGCATATAACACTACAAATGAAAATAAGGAATGAGCATTTATCTTTGCTTAGAAGGAACACAAACACATTGCAGGGTGCTCCTCAGGACCTTAGGGCGGGCCTGGAATCAGGGTCCCCGAAGCTCAAGCCTCAGTAACTTCGTGGTACATCTGTCCTTGATGGACGTGTTTTTAGCTAAATTAGAGCAAACACTGCAGTAGATTTGATTGTTTGTGTTCCCAACCTCGGTGAAATGTGACCATCCACAATGATTTGAAGCGATTTCTCAGGTAGTTAGGCCTTTCTTTGATATCCTGAATCTGAGTGAACCACTTTGATCGTCATTGTCAAATCCATGTACTGACCCCCTGGCATCCCCTTCCTGCTTGGTGAATGCAAGCTCTCTGCGTGAAACTCCCACAGGGACGCTGAGGTGGGGTTGGTGGAGGCCAGGACAGCTGGCAGAGAGAGCTGGGTGTGTGGTGTGGCATTTTGGAAGCAGAGCATGCTCAGTGTCACTTTCTGGATAATTTCTGCAACAAAGGAGGAAACTTCTGCTGTTCCCCCTGAAGTGGAGTCTCCATGGAGCCTGCAGCAGCCGGGGCTCCAGCGGGAAGAGTGCACCCACAATAGCACACCCCAGGAAAGGCTGGCAAAAAGCTTCTGCCTTTGAAAAATATAAATAAGGAAATTGCAAAGTAGTTCACAGACGGCCAGGTGTGGTGGCTCGCACCTAGAATCCAAGCACTTTGGAGGCTAAGGTAGGAGGATCACCTGAGGTTGGGAGTTCAAGACCAGCCTGACCAACATGATGAAACCCCACTTTTATTTTTTTATGGTTTTTTTTTTTTTTTTTTTGAGATGGAGTTTCGCTGTTGTTACCCAGACTGGAGTGCAATGGCACGATCTCGGCTCACGGCAACCTCCACCTTCTGTGTTCAAGCAATTTTCCTGCCTCAGCCTCCCGAGTAGCTGGGACTACAGGTGCGCACCACCATGACCAGCTAATTTTTGTATTTTTTTAGTAGAGATGGGGTTTCACCTCGTTGACCAGGATGGTCTCAATCTCTTGACCTCGTGATCCACCCACCTCGGCCTCCCAAAGTGCTGGGATTATAGGCGTGAGCCACCGTACCCGGCCTGAAACCCCGCTTTTTTTAAAAAAAAAAGTAGTTCACAGACTGGAAGAAAATTTTGCAGAACATATATTCAGCAAAGGGTTTGTATTCAAAATATAAAAGGAAGTGTGTAAACACACACACACAGACATCTTAGTAATAAGGATAAAAAGAACCCAAAACTCAAAAGTGTTCAAAGATTTGTACACACTTTACCGAAAAAGATATATGAATGGCCAACAAATAGATAAAAAATGCTCTACATCAGGGGTCCCCAGCCCTGTTAGGAACTGGGCAGCAAAAAAGGAGGTGAGCAGATGAGAAGCAAGCATCGCCACCTGACCCCTGCCTCCTGTCAGATAAGCAGCAGAATTAGATTCTCAGAGGAGCTCAAACCCTATTGCAAACTGCACATTCGAGGAATCTAGGTTGTGTGCTCCTTACGAAAATCTAATCCCTGATCCTGAAAGCATCCCTCAGCCTTCATCACCAGTCTCTGGTGCCAAAAAAAGGTTGGGACCTGCTCCTCTAAATCACTAGCCATTGGACAACTTCTAAGAAAAGGTGAGGCTGGGCATGGTGGCTCACGCCTATAATCCCAGCACTTTGGGAGGCCGAGGCAAGTGGATCACAAGGTCAAGAGATTGAGACCATCCTGGTCAACATGGTGAAACCCCGTCTCTACTAAAAATACAAAAATTAGCTGGGCATGGTGGCACGCGCCTGTAGTCCCAGCTACTCGGGAGGCTGAGGGAGAATTGCGTGAACCCGGGAGGCAGAGGTTGCGGTGAGCCGAGATTGTGCCATTGCACATCAGCCTGGGTAACAAGAGCGAAACTCTGTCTCAATAAAAAAAAAAAAAAAAGAGGCCGGGCGCAGTGGCTCACGCCTATAATCCCAGCACTTTGGGAGGCCAAGGCGGGTGGATCACGAGGTCAAGAGATCGAGACCATCCTGGTCAACAAGATGAAACCCTGTTTCTACTAAAAATACAAAAATTAGCTGGGCATGGTGGTGCTCGCCTGTAGTCCCAGCTACTCGGGAGGCTGAGGCAGGAGAATTGCTTGAACCCAGGAGGCGGAGGTTGTGGTGAGCCAAGATTGTGCCATTGCACTCCAGTCTGGGTAACAACAGCGAAACTCCGTCTCAAAAAAAAAAAAAAGAAAGAAAGAAACAGTGAAAGAGAGAAGCAATGAGTAAGAAACGAAAGAAAGAAAGGGGCCGGGCGCAGTACTCCCTACGATGAAAACTGGTTCTACATGCAAGCTGCTTCCACACGTGGCACCCGTACCTCTGGGATGGCACTGAGGTTGGCTCCATGACCAAGTTCTACAGGGGACGTCAGAGAAATGGCATCATGCCCAGCCCCTTCAGCTGAGGCTCTAAGAGTGTGGCCTGCCGGGTCCTTCAAGGGCTGGAGGGGCTGAAAATGGCAGAAAAGGACCAAGATGGGGGTTGCAAACTGACACCTCAGAGACAGAGCGATCTGGACAGAATCGCCAGACAGGTGGCAGCTGCCAACAAGAAGCATTTAGAACAAACCATGCTGGATTAATAAATTACCTCATTCAGAAAAAAAAAAAAAGCCACAATTCCGGCCGGGCACAATGGCTCACACCTGTAATCCTAGCACTTTGAGAGGCCAAGTCAGGCAGATCACAAGGTCAGGAGTTCGAGACCAGCCTGACCAACATGGTGAAACCCTGTCTCTACTAAAAATATAAAAATTAGCTGCGCGTGGTGGTACATATGCCTGTAATCCCAGCTACTGGGGAGGCTGAGGCAGGAGAATCACTTGAACCTGGGAGGATCATGCCACTGCACTCCAGCCTGGGAGAGAAAGGGAGAGACTCCATCTCAAAGAAAAAAAGCCACTCTTCCAAACTGCCTTGCCACTCCCTATGTGATAGATAATAATGTTTTGTGATTCTAAACATATCAAAACAGAGTCACTTATGACAGGTGACTCAGCCTACAGTGAAGCTGCTGACCCCTCAGAGTGTACAGTGGACAGAGGTGATGTGATAACACCTGCTGTGGTCAGGCACCCCCAAGACCTAACAAGAAAGAGAAGCCAAAAGGCAGCTGAGATA